TTTTGACTGCTAAGCTGCCTGACAGACCTATCTGGCTACTATTTTTCCTGTCATATTTCCTTCCCGGCCCATTTTTTTGCTATCATCCAAATTAATGTCCTGAACCTCGTTCGTTCGTTCGAGGGAACCAGCCAAACCAGGAAAAAAAACCAAGGGGCGAAAAAAAGAACCATATTAAAAAAAAAGGACAAGAGAAGAAGAAAACATCTTGCCATAGAAAAAAGGAAATCGTCCTCCAAGGTCTAACATAACCCACTTTTCAAGATTGAAATCCAATTTAAAAAAAAAAAAAAAAAAGGTAGAGGGAAGAAAGCGAATGTGAAGAAAGGGGGTGTTTTGTTTATCCCCCGAACTACTGGTATTTGTGACTGTCGTTCATCGGAGTGCCCCCCAGCGATTTCCCCCCCTGGGCGCCATACGCTGGTGGCGGCGCAGGCGACTGTGCTCGATACATCGGCCCCGAAGATGATGACGATGAAGATGCTCCAAATTGAGCCGAAAGACCTGACTCCGGCTTGCCAGATGGTGGAGAGAGCACGCTAGATCCGATCTGCCCGCCGTCGCCTCCACCAACGACAAGCTGCTGTCCATCCTTCATACGACCGACAACCATCCCCTTGGCCACCGACTTGAGGATTGCCCGTCTTGAAACGCCCATCGCGTCAATATAGACTAACCCGACGTTCTTGACGCCGCCAGTGATATCTGTCGTCACTGCCCGCGCCTCTTCGCCGTATCGGTGGCCCATGACTTTGGACGCAGCCTGAGAACCGGTTGACAGGAGATGTCGAGCACTGTGATCGAGACCGTCACCCAGGGTGGAAATCGCAATCATTGACTTGTTGAGGATACCAGGCTTGTAGTCTGGTATCGGCTTGCCGTTGATGTCGTATCCTCTGTTATACGGATCACGCTCGCCCCGACGAGTCAATGCCGCGCCCAGGTTCTGTGCATATTTACCTAGCTGTCCCACGGTTTTGGCTGATAGGCCAGCAGCAGACTGCGAGAAGGTGTTGATCTTGCGAATGTGTGCCTGTGCGGATGGCGAGAACGTCATGGGTTTGGCAGCGGGCTTGGTACTCCGGGTGAAGCTGTCTGCTCCAGTGTTTACCAGGCTAGCCAGTGCTTCGGTGGTAGTCACCAGAAGACGGGAAGCCATGGCTGAACCTTGAACAAGCGATGACTTTGCATATGCAGGGTGGCTTGCCATACGCAGGTACTCTGGCGGTGCATTGCTGACCGTGATCTGGTTGCCTGTCTCGGGTAGTTGGATCTGAACAGGGTCTAATGAAGATTAGCTTGACGTCCACGAGGAATAATCAACGAGGAATAATACGAGATGCCAAAATAAATATAGAAAAACAAAAACAAAATAAAATAAAGAGGAAGATACATTATTGAACGGCAGATGCAAAGAAAAAGAAAGAATTGGAGAGCTGGCATACCTTTTGACCCAGGCTTGACGTCTGTCGACTGCACGACACTGAATCCCTCGGTGAGTTCTCCCACAACACTCCCGTTCTCCTCATCAACTAGAACAATCTGGCCGTTCTTCTCATCGCCAGTCCCTGCATAGCCCTCTCCAGGTGCATATGTTGCAGGGTTATATCCTCCTTGTTGTTGCTTTTGCGGCTGCTTGCCCTGGTGTTTTGGGGGTGGAGACCGCTCAAGAAAAGCAGTACACTGCGCAAGAATGGTCTCAAATGTGTCGACGTCCTCCTGTGATACCATTCCAGACCCGCTTCCGATCTTGGGGAACTGAATGCGGGTAAACGCACCCGCCTCAGGTCCTAGATCCCATCTGGGGATCAGGTAGCTGTCTGGTGGCTGGTGGTAAACCTGAGTGGTGGCGGGCAGTGGCAGCTCGAGCTCTGGCGGCAGGTGAAGATGGAGGTAGAAGTCTTCCTCTGTGTTTCCTGACGCAGCTTGCGGGTTGGCAGGGTCTACAACGGGGATGGTCGTAGGTACCATGAGGAGGGAGAGCGTCTGAGGCCCTGAGGGGGTGAGTTCCGTCTCCTCGCCATCCTGGACATGGAATGCCCGCACGTTATCGAGACTGAAGAAGAGTCGAGGGTCGCTTGATCCCCCAGCCATGGCGAATGGCTCACTGTTCTATCCCGGCTGGTCTTGAAGATGTATCGACTTTGGATAGTTAGTGGGACTTGGGAGAACTTGTGGCCTGATTTGTTTGCGTATGTGTTAGATCACAATCGCGGGGCGTTGGGTCAGAGATCCTCACAGCAGGAGCAGCGTTTATTTTCCTAACAGCAAAGACAGGCAGCAGAACCACGCTGGCTTTCAATCCTGGCGTAGTCGAAGCGTGAGATGTGACTTGGATAGTCGATGTGACTGCCTTGCGGCTTCAGCGCTTAAGTAGAAGAAACGACGTGCGAAAGATGCACCGCCACAAATGCGGCCTCCCCGCGCCCCGTGACAAGTGATGATGTCATCACTGCACAGCCTCATATGATTATATAAGTCATGATTTGGCAGGCACGAACTGATAAGATAAAGACGGAGTTTAATCTGTGTTTGATGTCGATGTACTCCGTCGAAGTAAACAGTTGCGAGAAGAGAGTGAAGGAAGACGAAGAAAGGAGAAGCTCGAGGCGGACGATGCTCGGGTGACGGAGATAGCCTGAAGCCTGACCTTGCAGGGGGCAGCACCAGCAGGGGACAGCGAGTCAGGCCTCGGGACCAAGGCTGTGAGACGGCTGGTATGCATATACGGGTTGCTAGCAATCCTCCGCAAGACAAAATATATTCCTCCCGCCTCTCGGGGGCAAAATGGCTGTCCATCCATCGACATGTCTATTTTTACGATAAGTTTGTGAAAAGGACAGGCGAAGAGAAGTCCGACTGAACAACAACCGTTATTACATTCCGACGATATCAACAATAATGCGGCTGCATCTCCTTGTATTCAGTCTGGGACTTCTGCCAGAGGCTTTTGTCCAAGCAGATGAGCTCTACCACAAAGTTCGGCTCGCCTTGAATTCCACTCCACGATAGCAGTAACTAATAGTATTCCAGGGTGACAGCAAGACTCCGTCCGTTCAGCATGGTATTCGTGGCCTAGCCTCCTGCTCCGTCCCAGAGAGAGATAACTGCTCCTTCTACCTATCCTGTCTCGAGACCGCGGTACCATGTGGACCCAAAGGCTACGCTACTGCCTATGGCGACCATTACTGCCGCAAATTTCAATCGGAGCAGCAGAAGTTCTCTGACAAAGGGCAAGCCTGGCTAAGCAATACCATGTACTGCCTGCAGAGCAAGCTCGTACCATACGCGACTGGACAAAAACAAGCCACCTGCGACGCGATCCGGAAGTACGCCTTCGGAACACATCCCTCCTGTTATATCGACAACGGCTTGTGCACCCTCCCACCGTCGGACTGGTTTCATATCCTCGATATTGTTGGTGTCGAAGGCCTGTTCGGTAGCATAGAAGCCCTTATTGCAACACTGGAGGCCGCAGGTGGATGTGGTGAATTTTACCTTTGGTTAATCAGGAATCACTTCATTGAAAACGCGGAAAGACGAGTCACCAGCAAGGACGCGTGAGAGTATTTTCAAGTCTTATCTTGACAGTGACCAGAGTAACAGTATTGTAACTCTGGGTAGCTTTCGACTCATCCATGGTTCAGCGTACGATAATTTAGGTTAGCGTTGAATATATTCTAGGTTACACAGATCTTACCAGACCTCAAATATATGTAAACACACCTTACCTTAAAGCGAGGAACGAGGATCATAGTTTGCTGGTTGACGCGACTTTTATGGTTCTTTTCATCCAAGGGCTGGATTCCCAACCGTACATTCCAGGTAGAGATGGCCTGGCTGGAAAGTCAATACATTTCCCTAAGGTGAAACATGAATAGTGCAGTATATGATAGCAAGATTGTCCGTCAGAGATACGCGTGGACGGCAAATTCAAGTCTCGAGCCCATACTATTTCCCAATAGAGCGCCAATGGCTGAATGCTGCGGTATCATCAAGGAAGCGTGCTTTCATCAGGTTATCGATGAACACTGCTCAGGTTGCATCCATCCGGGTTTCAAGCTTATTTTGTGTATGAAACCCAATCCCAGAAAAGAGGGAAAACTAGATCTTCACCACGCAGTGATATGGATGACGCGTTGATTTATGAGAGCCAGTATGGCTATGGGATTGATTCATTGCCACAGATAACAAAGCGAGGTAAGTCGAGGAGAAGATAGCTGGGATCCGCGTGAGAGGACAAACGCTAACTTAAAGATTGGATCCCGCAATCGGATATGGGCGGTATTTGTTATGGGTATTCGAAGGTCAAAGCCAGGCACTTCAAATCTCATCCAGCTGTGTATTGTTTTCACGGGAAACACAGCACACAGTGGTAGACCCTAGAGCCGTGTGAGAAACAAACAGGACACTGGAGAGCACCACTTTAGTTAAGGGAGGAAATTTGGGTTTATAGGTGCAATTTAGCTTCATCTTGGCTAACTTATTGCACCGTGAGTTCAGGTACCAGACTCCTGTAGGAGTTTAGTTGCCTTCACACATCGACTTGTTATCAGATCTCAAGGTCAGGTTCGAGGTTTCTATCTTTAGCCATCGCTAATTTAAGCTTTACCACGTGATAGATGTTATTAGTCATCTAGAGCTTGGACTATATCACGTGCCAACTCTGTATCCGTGTCTAGCCGAGGTTAAATGGAAAATCACGTGGCGCTTCTCTCTGCCTTCAACTTTCGGTCTTTCAAGTCCGCTTTTCGATTCTGATTCTTCTTCTCCAGGCCGAACGTTTGGTTGATTTCTTTGCCGTTGAAGTGCTTGCCAGGTGCCTGTTCTGCGTCGTTATACCCCGTATAGTCACTATCGCTCCAACATGGCATCCATAACCCGTGCACTGCGACCCTTGTCCAGGAGGGTATATGCGCCTCTCCTATCCACGGCAAACAGAGCTACGGTCTCCAGGGCCGCACAATGGTACGTCGAAGCACATATTCCCTTGGAAGCCAATGCTGGTGGTTATTTCACAGCTCCGGTACATGTTATGCTGACTTGACTGGCCTGGGTGCAGCTCCCGGGCGTTCTCTGCTACTCCCCTCCGCCGTGATGCCGACCTCACCCCCACTCCCATCACCTACCTCTCTGAAACCGAGTCGATGATGGCAGAGTCTGTCTCCAAGTTTGCCGTGGAAGAGATCGGTCCCAAGGTCAGAGATATGGACGAGGCTGAGACCATGGATCCTGCTGTTGTCGAGCAGCTGTTCGAGCAAGGGTTGATGGGCATTGAGATCCCAGAGGAGTACGGTGGTGCCGGCATGAACTTCACCTCGGCAATCATTGGCATCGAGGAACTCGCTCGTGTCGACCCCAGCGTCAGTGTCATGGTCGACGTGCACAACACCTTGGTCAACACCGCTGTGCTGAAGTACGGTAGCGCCGCTATCAAGAAGAGATGGCTTCCTAGACTGGCCACCGACACCGTGGGATCGTTCTGCTTGTCCGAGCCCGTGTCCGGATCCGACGCTTTTGCCCTCCAGACCAAAGCCGAGAAGACTTCCTCCGGATACAAGCTTAATGGCAGCAAGATGTGGATCACCAACTCCATGGAGGCCGGGTTTTTCATTGTCTTTGCCAACCTAGACCCCAGCAAGGGATACAAGGGTATCACTGCCTTCGTCGTTGAGAAGGACATGCCAGGATTCAGCATTGCCAAGAAGGAGAAGAAGCTTGGTATCCGTGCTAGCAGCACCTGCGTTCTCAACTTCGACGATGTGGAAGTCCCAAAGGAGAACCTCCTGGGCGAGGAGGGCCAAGGATACAAGTATGCCATCAGCTTGTTGAACGAAGGCCGTATCGGTATTGCTGCCCAGATGACCGGTTTGGCCCTCGGTGCCTGGGAGAATGCTGCTGGGTATTTTTTTTCTCCTGAACTTACCACATTCAGTACTAATTGTGATAATAGTTACATCTGGAACGACCGCAAGCAGTTTGGCCAGCTCATTGGTACTTTCCAGGGAATGCAGCACCAGGTTGCTCAGTCGTACACTGAAATTGCCGCTGCCCGTGCCCTCGTCTTCAACGCTGCTCGCAAGAAGGAGGCCGGTCAGGATTTCGTCCAGGATGCCGCCATGGCCAAGCTCTACGCCTCCCAGGTCGCCGGCCGCGTTTCCGGTCTCGCCGTCGAATGGATGGGGGGCATGGGCTTCGTCCGCGAGGGTATTGCTGAGAAGATGTTCCGAGACAGCAAGATCGGTGCTATCTACGAGGGAACAAGCAACATTCAGCTCCAGACTATTGCCAAATCCCTGCAGAAGACATACACTAAATAAATATAAGCATCTGCAATATTACCTTAACTTCAATGTGAGTCCCAGAAGACAGGAAGTACTAAAATGAGGACGCCTGGTGTTTGTTTCGAACTATTTTAATGCATGTATGAATATGTGCCAAGGGGATTGATTGATTAATTCTGCTTTGGCAAGGACTTTTTCTCTTGCTTTGATACGGAGTATCATTGTTATTGTTCATTTTTGAGTCGACCCGGAGGTCTCGAGTATCATGATATAAATCTATAGACTGAACAAAGAATAGAATACTTGTCTGTGGTTATGTTGATGTCCTTGCTCTTTGGTCTTCTTTCATGCAGCAAAGCGTCAAGAAGCAAACAACTTCCTGCATCAACAACCAACGACTTCAACTACTGCAACTCGGCCACCGGTCTAGCACCTCTACACCAGCATCACGACTGTCAAATGACGAGCCGTAGATGGATACCCAAAGCGAAATTCATGTTTGATTACTCCGTATTGTCCACGTCGAGCAGTTACACAGGAGCTCACACCCCAGCAGGAGTTGCGGACGCCACAAGCCTCTCAGAACGTCCTCATCTCAACATCAGCATGACAGAAATGCCTATCTGAAAACGTTTGAACGAGACCAACAGTTAGCTATCCATAGCTACGGGAATGATATCCATCTCGACTGATTCTTAAACACCCTTGGTTACTCTCACTCCATAAGGTCGCTCCATTTTCTGGCACAACGTGGGTGACGTGAAGGCTTACGCACTTACAGCGTACCGTCCAGTCGATATCACCATCAGGATCCAATTCTTCGGCTGCAGCTCGATATAACGGGTGACTAGGATTTGGCGTGTGCCTTTGGAGCCACCTAAGCGTGTTAGACTCAATAATGGCGCGGGATCTCGATGGGAATTCGCTGGAGGCAGATCACCGCCGAGAGACGCCTCTATATGGCGTCCCAGCTAGTTAAGCATTATTAGACTACTTTCTCTCAGTGGAGTGAGGGTCCTCAGGCTCTGATCCGGCACATTCTCGCACGACATGAGTTTTTTTTTTTCCTTCTCTTTTCTTCCTGGAGGTTAGAATGACGGAGAGATGTCTACGTTTTCCTAGACGGTGGTAGAGGCTTGTGCGACTCGTGCTGGTGTGGGAATTATTTCGAGCTGCAGTTTCAAAGCTCAAGATGAGAAACGACGACGAAAAGACCCCTATCTACAAAAGGCCTGGTTCATCCTCTTCACAGTTAAATACCACGAATAGGCCAGGAGAAAATGACGAGGAGGCCACTGCGTCGTGGGCCTCAATGCCAAAGAAATGGCAGTTGGCTATCATAGTGCTCTCCTGGTTTTGGGAGAATGCGGCAATGGGCAGTCGAGGGACCTACATCCTCTTCCAGCTTAGGATGTTCAACCTTCCTGATGGTTCTGTGCCCAGTGCAGCAAGCCTGGCATTCCGGGTCTCCCTCCTAAGTGTTGCAATTGCTGTTCCTCAGCTCTTTCTCTCGCCCATCTGGGGGGTACTGGCGGATTCACCCCGGGTAGGCCGCAAGAAGGTTCTGCTAATGAGCCTTTTTATGACTGGTATCTCCTGGCTGGGGCTTGCATTCTGTAATAGTTTACTGGGGGTTGTAGCATGTCATGTTCTGATCGGTCTAGCCAACAACAAGATTGCTGTGATGAGAACTATTGTCAGGGATATCAGCGGAGAAAAGTTTGAGTCACGAGCGATATTGCTAATGCCAACTGCTTTCAATCTTGGATCTACAGTCGGCCCTCTGCTAGGTGGAATACTCAGTGACCCTGTTAGAACATATCCAAAGGCATTCGTTCCCGGAAGTTCTCTGACTTGGTTGTTGGAGAGATGGCCATATGCTTTGCCAAATATGGTCAACGGCATAGCCATAATTTTATGCGCGATATTGACGGCCTTTCAGTTTGAAGAAACACACCCAGGCAAAGGGCAGCGGTCCTTGTCTGTCATTCCGGGCTGGGCGAAGAATTTGGGTCGACGGTTGTCCTGGGGAGGATATGAAAAGCTCTCTACCGAAGACCATGAGCGTATCGAGATGACTGGCCTAAGGGAGGATGATTCATCGAAAGCTGATCTTGCAAGGCCAGCAGCAGTCAGTATCTGGACCCGGCGATTGATCATGACTCTTTTCTCCAATGGGCTCATGATCATGCATGTTGGTATATTTCCCGCATTACTTGCAATATTCCTCTCCACACCCCGTTATGACCCGGCCGGGGTCTCATCAGCAACGAGCCCATCTCCAAATGGTACCGATCAGCAGCAGTCCACAGCAGCTAACGGTGTTCTGTCCGTGCCGCTCAACTACCATCCTCATGCCCCTTTTGTTTTCACCGGAGGACTTTCCTTTAAGCCGGACAACATCGCCTTTGCCCTTGCTATCCGAGGTGTCATCGGATTGTTGCTGCAACTCCTTTTCTTCCCTTACTTGAAGAGAATCTTTGGCCTTTTTCGGCTATATCTGTATTCTCTTCTGGTATTCCCCGTGACGTATTTTGCCATCCCGTTCTGGGCTACCGTCCCATCAACTACATCACCTCGCTTACCAGCGTCAGGGGCACTGCTCTGGATTTTCATCGCTATCACCTTGTCCCTTCAGACGACTGCTCGTTCCTTCGTTACGCCTGCCTCACGCATGATTCTCAACGCAGCTAGTCCGGATAAAACTTCCCTTGGCACCGTTAATGGTATCGCCCAGAGTGTTGCGGCTGCTGCCACAATCGTAGGCCCATTGATTACGGGTTGGACGTATGGTGTGGGACTGAGGCAGGGTATTGTCGGTGTTGCTTGGTGGACTATGTCCGGTTTCGCTATATTGAATGCCGTTGCGGGCGCTGCTCTTATGTACGAAAGCCGACGTGGAGAGAAGCGCAAGTCCGCTATACAGGGTGAACCGTAGCCGTCAGCTCGGCAGCGGGCTGGAATGACGACATGGTCGATTATCCATGTATAGCATGATGCTCAAGTATGGAGTACTTGTATAGCACTTGTCGTTCTGCTTGATGGACCGATCTCCAACGGCAAAGCGGTTTCAGGGCCATGTCGTCAGTGGCAGTGGGTTTGTTTTTGATACTTGTGGTATCACAGGTGATGATGTATGGAGACGTTGATGTGTCCTGTTTCATGAAGTCTCAACTAGATAGTTATGAATGACATGAATATGAACGTTTAAAGGAGTTTCTTTGCAAATAGGCTCTCTGCGGGAGGGGGTATCATAACTAGTGCAGTAGAGGATCCTCGTAGTGAATTCGATAGTCTTGTATATCTCTGGCCGTTGAACCGTTGGTCTTCTGGAGTGTAAAGTGGCCATCGGTAGTCGGATTCAGCCGGTTTCATCAGCAATTGAAATCACCCGTCGTATCGATACTCCTATGAGAGACCCTTGGTCATCTCCATCATCGATAGCCGAAGGATGGCTCCGTGTCATCAAACGTCAAACGTCTCTCACAGCCATCAATCATCCTCCACCTGTCCGTAGTAATGGAAGGGATACGAATAAGATAGGCTGGGATGCGTTATCTGCAGCTGCATAACGATAACAGCCACTTATCTCACGAATTAGTTATTTGTCATCCCGTTTTTGAGGTCTGATAAGAGCGAGCAGGAGAGAGAGAGAGAAAAAAACGGTCCAAAGATATCATTTCCCCAGGTCTATCTAATATCTGCCATCCTAAACACCTTGCAGAACATACGCTGCACGCCCAGAGTCAAGAAGAAAAGCTAATAATGGTACAACGGGAAGACTTCCCCAAATTAAAAGAATTATGGAGATATCGCAGGCCAGGAGGGAGGGAGGGAATAGCGATAAGGGTTGCCAGGCATGAAAGAGCCGGGCCCATCAGTCCAGCGGTGAGCAGCACCGGTCGAGATCATGGCCATGCTTCATCGGATATGAAGAAGGACAGCACAGCGCGCCCTAGCGCCAGGGACGCACGCCGGCGGAGATAGATGGCTGTTCGGGGGGGAGAGAGCGAGAGAAAAGGACGAGGGAAAGAAAAAAAAAAAAGCAAAAAGGGGCGAGAAAAATAACGGTTAAAAAAAAATAAAAAGGAAAAACAAGGTGATTAATGTCGGTCCAGGGAAGCCGAACGGGGAGATCGGGATGGAAGGATATGCTTTTTTTCTTCTTCTCTCTCTTTCCAGCCCCCTTGAGCGTTGGGTTTCTGGCATGAAACCTGATACACCGAGTTCTGTCACAGGTTGGGCCAGGGTGTGGTATGTACCTTGTCTGCCGCTTGTAAAACGGGTTAGCCGGCTGTTCCAGAATATTCTCATTTATCGGGATGATTCAATGGTTCATGAAGAGGGAAGACGGTGAGGCTCGAGTCGGTGAGCAGTTGGCATTGAGCAGATGTAGACACAGGCTATGGATGTTGACGTAGATGTACCGATTCAGAGACATCTACCATAGTGGTGGTAACTATAGTGAAGCAGCAGGGCGGATGGTTGAAGGGAAAAAAGAACACAGCCTGCGGCCGTCCTCAGGCCTTCTTCGGCGCCCCGGCCTTTGCATCCGGGGTTGTATTCTTTGCATTTGCGCATTCGAGGGCCTGGCGGCACTGTCTCGAGACGTTTGCCTGCGTATATCGCTGTCGAAACATGCCGAAGACGAGATATCCGACTAGACAAGCCCAGGCAAAGCCGATGATGAACATGGCCTGCACGAGTAGATCCATGGCTTCGAACCCGCCGGCTCAGGCGTATGATAAAGATGTAGCAGCAGAAGCAGCAGTGAGTATGTTGATTTCGGAGTAGGCTGTAGGTGCCGGCCTTGGTAAATAGAGTACTCTCTGGCTGCTCCGCGGGTGGTACAGCAACGCAACTCCGGAACTAGGGGATGCCTGGTCTTCGGCCGGATAGATTCAGGTAAGTTATTTTTTTTTTTTTTTTTTTTTATTTTTTTTTTTTTTTT